GCCGCCGCCGCCGCCTGCCCTCGGAGGCGGCGGCCGCCCCGGCACAGCCTGGCCCGAGGGGGAGAGGGCCGCGCTCACCTGGGCCGCCTTGGTGTAACTGGCCATGGCCGCCCTCCCGCCGCGGCTGAGGGGAAGGGAAGACGGAGCCCCTTGGCCGCCGCACCGGCGGGAAGCGGAAGCGCTGCCCTGCGAGGGGCGGTGCAAGGGCGGCAGCGCGGGACGTTCGGAGCGGCGGCGGCTCCGTCCCGCCCGCGTCCCCGTCCCCGTCCCCGTCCCCGCCCGGCCATGGACCGCTACGTCCTGCTCCTGAGCTGGGGCGAGCGCAGGGGCGAGGGTGCTGCGGCGGGCGGCCCCGGGCCCGGAGCAGGTACCGCCGCGGGGAGGAGGGGGCCCGGGGGGTCCGGAGGCCGCGGCGTGTGGGGAGCCGCCTGCCGCGGGGCCCAGCGAGCTCGCTTAACCAGGGCTTTTCTTTACGGTCGCTGCTCTGGGATCTGCGGCCCTGCCGGCTTTTCTGGATCCCTACCTCGTTAAATCCCCCCTTTATTTTTTTTACTTTCGGACTAAAAGTCTTTAATGGCTTAAGCTCTCAGAAGTTTAGGGCGTTTTGTGTTTTGCTGTGACGCTGCTATATGACTCGGTAGAGCCTTCCCGAGACGTGCACTACTTTAATGAGAACTTTACAAAATTCGTCTTCTTAAACTCCTGCAAATCTGTAGTCGACAGGTTTCTTTTAAAACTAAACTTTAACTGAACTTTATCCTGTATTTGCAAGAAAGCAGCACTTAACTTCTGTAATTCACTATCTTTAAGAAAAACTTTTTTTTTTTTTCCAGCTGGGGCTGCTGCAACCCTTTATCAGTTCCTGAAAGCAAGCTGTAAATCATCTATAAATGCAGATGTGAGCATATTCCCAGGTAAATAGAGTGATGTGCAGTAAGGTCAGGCAAATTTTATCAAGGAATCGGCCTAGGCACGTTTTATGATCTGGGTGAAACAAGTCAGAAACTTAAGGGAACCCAATTTCTGCAGTGTGCCTAAACCTGCAAGTTGGACTGCTCCTGCTGGTACTGTTTCTGTGGAGAACTGATGTCATTTCAGCAGCTGAGGTGTTAGGAGGTGATTAAATAGATTGGACACAAGAAATGAAAGAGAGGAGTTTTGTAAGGTTGACAAATTTGAATACAACTTAGCAAGGAAGAGTAGGAAAGGGCTTGTTTCTCATGTCAGTGGGCAGCTTGATATTTTCATTACTCCTGTGATGTCTTCGAATTTTTTCAGTGGAAGCAATATTTGTCTGTTGGGTATTAATTCAGAACCCTAATCCATGAATACTTATTCAAGGATTTTATCATCTTAAAATAGATTTCTGAAGATCTGCTTTACTACTTTTAGGGGCCGGGTGTTTGGGTTTTTTTCTTTACTTGGTTTGGTATCTAGTGTTGAGCTGTTAAGGCTCATCTTGTCACAGCTGTCATATAATTGTGATTCATGTGGGGAAACCACTATAAGTTGTTAAAATTCATGAAGATGGGAATGTTAAGCTCTTTTCAACTTCTGTGCTTTTTATTGCATAGAAATGTTGAGACAGCATCTCATTTTGTGAACTGTGTAAACCGTATTTATGAAAGTTGTGATTTAGTTCAGGTTTGATACAACTGCTGCAAATGGAGAGCAATATTGCCCAGAATGGAGAAGAGATCAAAGATTTTCTTACTTATTAACAGTCAGAGGTTCAGACACCTTAACATGTTTAGAACTTAATTATAATGCCAAAGGAAAGTAGAACTCGAGTCATTGTGGCACATTAAATGACTCAGTCTTTTAACAGAGTTGTTCATTATGATAGGAAGAACAGATTGTAGTGGACTGATTATTTTAAATAATTGTATTATCTCTTTGCAGCGTGTTCGGTGGCTGGTATTCCAGGTGTAAAGAAATGGTATTTTGCAAGTCATGTTATATGCGGTTATTATCAGGTAAGACTTTCCCCCCCCCCCCCCGAATGTAAGTTCCTCAACTGTCTGCCTGTCTCTAGTGCAAGTTAAAACTGTGATGTTCAAAATTGTTTTTGCTTAATTAATTAGTTTTGCTTGATTAGTTCTGCAGTTCTGACTGGGAGGAAATAAATTTTGACACACAGAAAAATGACGACTGTCTCCAAACAAGTATTGACGAATGCCTGGGAGCCATACAAAATTTTGAGGAGGATGACAATAACAGTAGAGAGTCACTGTCTATGACTGAGTATGCATTATTATTATTTTTACTGAAAGTATAGTGATCTGACATTTAACAGTAATAACCCAAGGGATCAAGAAAGCTTAAGAAGTAAAAGTTATTACCAAAGCAACAGTTAACTATGAACAATCCCCTACTACTACTGAAAATAATTCTATTTTGTTTAACATAGCTTTAATTTTTTTAGCTACAGATTTTTTTTATAGAATAACTGAACAGTTTCCTAAAAGCTGATGGTTATATATACAAAAAGAAGTTTCTTGCTAATCTGTCTTGAATCCTACTTCCAGTTTTACTGCAGATTGTTTTGAAGTCATTTAGCCTACTTCTGCCTCAGTAAAAGGGGAGATAAGTATATCTTGTTGCCTAGGTATGTTTGTGCAGAATTTTAAAGATTTAAGATACTTACACCAGGTAGTATTCATTAGTTGTAACTTTTTGTTTTGAAATGACTGTTTATATTTTTTTCCAACCACGTTGCTCTTTATTTTCAGTATCTATGATGAAGCTGCAGAAAGTCTGCATCAGTTAGCTGATAAACTGCCTGCCCCAGGTAATCTCTCTTAAAAAAGCAATCTTAATTGAGTTTTTCTTGTTAGCTATTACTCTAAAAACTCAGCTGGTAAAATCAAAGTCAAATGGAAAAATTCAGAGGATGTTAGTCTGTTAGCGAATTAACTTGTGTGCAGCTCCTGCAAGTAGTTTAAGGAACCTGAGCATGATTGGCCTTGCAAATCAGATTATGGACTAGTTTGCTGCTTGTTTCTCTGGAAGGCTGTATTTCTGTAGAATTTAAGGTAGCTATTTATATAATTAATTTTCCATCTCAAATGGCGCCAAAGTAGTAGTAGACGGTAAGCAATATGAAACTCAACATACAACCACAGGAAGTTTCTATGGAAAAAAATGGAAGGTGTTGACGTCAGGCTTACATCTGATTTGCCAGCTGATTGCTTGTGGGCGAGAGCCATGAAGCTGTGAAGGAACATAGATCAGAACTATTGGATTCAGGTTTTGTCAACTGGAGATGCATATCACCTTCCATGTTGGTATTACATAATGTTGCAGTAGTTGATTTGGGATAGCAAAGGAACTGAATGCGGAAAGAATGAGAAACAGTAGTTCAGAGGTGTTGGAAGGAGGAAAATGACATAGCATAGTTGTACTGGAGACAACTCTGATCTGTCAAATACAGTGCTGAGTGGGAGGAGTAACATACAGAACCACTGTAATTGAGTGAATGGCAAAATATTTTGTGTTAATCTAAGAGGAGCAGCAAGAGATGAGCTAAAATGTGGGAAAATGGTTTTAGATCTTGCTGAAGTTACTTGAAGTTGATCTTTAAGGCCATTTTAGTGCAGTCAGTGATAATCAGTACTTTTCTATCTTTAAATAACTGAATCATTTACTGAATAATGGCACCTTGAGTAATATATAACTGTTTTTACAGGCAGAGCAATGGTTGATGTAATACTGCAGGCTGTTGAACAAGATGGACCCAAGTTAAAAGACTGCTTACCTGCTATTGGTGCCCTGAAACACCTGAGAGAATGGCACTCTGCACAAATCACTATTGCAGCAAATGATTCTAAAGGGTATGCCATTTATTTTAGGTCTATAAACAAGGTCACTCTTGTTTTGTGTTAGTATATGTTAGTGGTTTACAATGAAACAGTGTCTTGAGTACTTTACACATATACTTTGAAAATATATAGATTTGCCTTCTATTATCATTTGAGGGGAGGAATTACTCATGCTGATTTATTGTAAATACATGCCCTAACCAGAGGGGCAGGCAAAAAAGCAAGTCCTCTGAAGTTCCTATTTCTATGAGAGCAGAAGATAAAATACTTTCTCTTTCCTTGCCATCACTAGTGGCTTCAGTGTGCATACCATGTTTCGAAGTTGGTCTATGCTACATAGTAACTTGTATTGATTGTAGTTTTGCAGTTTTTGTGAAATGAATATATAACTCTGCTGGTTTTACTTTAAATTTTATACTACCTTTGGTATTGCATTTCAGGGAGGAAAAAAAGAGTGTCTTATTTGTCCCTTTTGAAAATAGGAGTATAAATGCTCAATTACTTCCTGTATGCTTCTGAAGAGTCTTAACACTGAAATTATTAATTCAATTTGAAATTAAGTCCGTAATTTCCTTACTGTCCTCCTCTAACTGACATAAGTAGGCCATGATATGTCTCAATGTAAACCAGAGTGGTTTGTTTGGTTGTTTTTTTTTCTGTGCAGTAAATTATTGTGTGGATATTGAATAACTTGGCAAGGTCTCCTCCACTTCCCCTCCCCTCCAAGATTCCCAAAAGATTCAAGTTTCCTTCATAGAATATGTGGTTAAGCTTAATCCTAAGTTAATAAAACTGTTTAAATTTAAAATGTTGAATGGTCAGTCCTTGGATAGAATAAGCGATATACCGACTATATAGTACTTAAGGTATACGGAGGAAGATAAAACTTATTGCAGTGACTTCCATGAGCGCTTGATCTCAATGCTCATTGATGTCTTCCTGTGCAGCCAGCTTTTGACTGAATACATTTTTCTGCTGCTTTTTATGTAAAATGTGGCCATTTGGGCATACAGTTTCTCTGATGAAAATTCTCTCACTTATTCTTCCTGTTCTGTTGATGGTGCTGATTTCTTTCAGAAAACAGACGGCCAGTAGGACCCACAAATACTGGCTGCTCTTTTTCTGTTGCTGTTGAATTTGGGTAATACTTGTGCTGCAGTCATGTAGTTACAAGGCTAACTACAAATCATCTAGATTGGCCAGTGATGGCTACCTGGCTTTACTCCAGCTTCTAGCACCCAACCTTACTATGGTATGTCTGCAGCTTGCCATTGCCGGTCTTATTTGATGTCTGACAAAGTTCTTTGCTGTCACATTCATGGAGCATATGA